GGTGCACCTATCGCGGAAACCAGGGCGTGCAGACTCGATCGTCCCTACCGAGTTCCTCATCGATTTTCTTCCTCGACCTTGCAACCCTGTTGCCCGGTCTTTACCGACGGAGTAAACCCAAATTTTCCACGAGCGATTCGGCCCTGGCTCTGTACCAACGGCGGGCAATCGGAATTCGCAACTTTACGACCTTCCAACTGTACGCCACAAGTTCCGGCAAGTTGTCTCTCCCAGGGATACCAAGGAAGCCGTTCATCGATTCGTTCCACTCGCTCTCTGTGATCGATTACGCATTAATTTTGCTTTCGCATCGAATCGGGACATTGTTCTGGCGGAATATATAGACAAGTAGCCTAGTTTCTCTTGAAAACGAGAGTTCGTGAAATTGCTCTCGAATCTCCTCGTCTTCGATTCTTCCTAGAAGTGAATTGTACAGTTCTTCGCAAGGCACCGATGTCGACTCGAAGAGTTTGGTTTACCCTCGAAGTAAAGAGGGTTGTAGAGCGAAAGTTCGGTCGGTACAGCGAAGGATTCGGTTGTCAGGGCGCATGTTACTTGGCATTGATTTTTGCGTTTGACCGGCGAGAAAGACGGGAGAAAGACGACCAGCTGAAACCGCTGACGGACGAACGAGGAGAGCACGAGACGAGGCAAGGAGAGCAAAGAGAGAGGAAAAGAGAGAGAGAGAGGAGCGACAATATGGCCGTGCGACCAGCCGGCAAGACCGTCGTTTTGTTATGACCTCGAAATTCGGCCAAGAAGTTGGACGTTCGTGAGCCACGTGCATCCGCGGTCGGTATCGCCGATAGATCGTTCCGTGATCGTTCTTGCCCTCGATCCTGCGTGTACCCCTCGATCGTGACCGAGGGAACATCGGCCGGCAGAGCGGCGTCGACGAACCCCAGCGCGTTCACGAGAATTATGGATCCCGGCAGGTGACACCAATGAAAGGTAAACTCTTGACACCTATCATCGAAATTCCAAATTTCTTTCTCTAAATGGTATAGACTTTTCTATATCGTGCGCACGTCGAATCATCCTTCTTTCATCAATTCTGTTCTTCTCAATTCCTTGAACTTGTTTTTGGTGCGAAAGGACCGTGACGTAGCTTGTTGTTTTTGCCTGCTCTTCCGAAGCAGCGGCAGTAGAGATCGTGTTCAAGTATTATTATCTTGTTTATCATGCTTTGCCTCTGTCAAGAAAAGGGATTTATAGGAGAGCCGTGAAAATAGCTTTATTATAATCGCCGGGGTCGTGACGAGAATAAAGTCTAGGCCAGTGTCTAGGTGACGAGTAGGATTCCAAGAAGCAAAGGTCACGAAGCGTCGGTGCGTTCGATCGAGCTTGAATCCAACGTGTCGAGATCGACGAACGCGTCGACACGAGGTGTCGCGGTGAAAGAAACAAGAGGCGAAGAGCAACTTAGCGGACGCGGGCCGACTTAACGAGACCCGCTTTGACGGGACGTGTCGCGTATAGAATTGGCTGCACGCCAATTCATGAGTAATCCTTGTTTCCCGTGAGCACCCGCGCAGCAAACAAAATAAAGGTACGCGCCGGCAGTCGTTCTTTTTCTTACACTCCGCTTGCACAGTATCTTTAAATATTTCAAAGCAACCGTGGCGCCGGGGCTCTCGCTTCGATGTTGCTGTTTTCACCACGACTCGAGCCTCTCCTTCGAACGTCGATCCCTCGAGCCTCTGTCTCTGAACAGGCTTCTTCAAGTTACCGGGCGACGGTTTTCCTTTTCGTCGATCCGGGTCGCCTAATCTGTGGGGTAATTGCTCAGTCGCAGCGATGTGAAATCTTGTTGCACTTGTTCTATCGTTAGCCTTGAGGAGGATTTTTTGGAGATAATTAAGGAGTTTCTTTTTTCACGACTCGACGCTTCATTAGCACACGTATATTCCAACAAAGGGAGTTCGACAACTTGAAAAAGATTTAAAAAAAAAATATATCTCAACAACGAAACAATCTTTAATCTATATCGATACTAATTTCCTTGGGCTGAGAATAATAGGAAATAGTGTCGTTAGCCTTATATATTTT